ATTCATGATCAGATACATGTGTTAGTGTTGAAGAAGTGTTACATGCCTAATCAACCATGGTCTGATCTGATTGGGAGTTATTGAAGAAGTGTTACATGCCTAATCAACCATGGTTTGATCTGACTGGGAGTTATTGCATTATGAATATATAGATATGTGTTAGTGTTGAAGAAGTGTTACATGCCTAATCAACCATGGTCTGATCTGACTGGGAGTTATTGAAGAAGTGTTACATGCCTAATCAACCATGGTCTGATCTGACTGGGAGTTATTGCATTATGAATATATAGATAAACAAGTTTGTTTTTTTTTAGTACCGGATCGTCAGCCTGTGAAAATTCTAACGGTGATGTCCACAAATTCAGTGTTTTCGCTCACAACAAACTTATTTTTACGATCTGTAGCGTTAATCCAGGTTTTTCTCCGGGAAACTAGTCCTACTACAACTAACGACAGAACAATAATCATGACCTCTCTTTATCCATTCATAACTAATCAGTTAATATCGGATTATGTTTTAAAGGAAATTATTGTTTCTTGTAACCACGTTAATTAATTAAAATGGCGCTTAAGGTAAATTGAACAAGCAACGATTACTACAGTTGGTAAAAAAAAACAAATTCTTGAAAGATATTTTGGTTCAAAAACTTTCAAGTTCCGAATGGGCTGGAAAGGTAAACAGGGGCAGTCAGAAACTGTAGTTTCTCTTCACTCAGCTCGCGATAATGTTGAGAGAAAGAAGGAGAAATACTCTTGGTTGCTTGTTCATTGGCTGGCGAGCTGGAGACAGGAAGTACGTAGAGAGAGAGAAAGAAGGGAAGATACTCTTGGTTGCTTGTTGATTGGCTGGAGACAGGAAGTACGTAGAGTGAGAGAAAGAAGGGAAGATACTCTTGGTTGCTTGTTGATTGGCTGGCGACAGGAAGTACGTAGAGTGAGAGAAAGAAGGGAAGATACTCTTGGTTGCTTGTTGATTGGCTGGCGACAGGAAGTACGTAGAGTGAGAGAAAGAAGGGAAGATACTCTTGGTTGCTTGTT